ACCTCATGTTTCAGAAGCACAGGGGAAATCAGCCAAGGTAGAAGGAAACCCATGTTGTCGCAAGAGGTTCTCGGCTTGGCTGCACCAGGACACCAGCACCACACATGCCATTCCAGCAGCCACTCATTTCTCAGTCTAAAAGTGATGGAGACCCATGACAGTACTCTTTTATGTCTTTTTTCTTCTATGTAGGTGGGAAAAAAAAATGTGTACACATTAAAAGCTAAGGAGCAAGGGAGAGGTCTACTTTGTTATTTGCATCAGTGGGCTGGGTATCAGATTACGGTCCTCCCTGTTATAATCCAGCAACAAATGTGCCTCTTAGAAATAATGTCAGGAGCACATGGAAAGACACAGCAGCTTCCTCACAGAAGTAACACATCTAGTGATGGGCAATCAGACTGGTGTCGGCAGGTGTCCTGCATAGCAAAAAGTCAGCAACATTCTATCTGCTGTAACATATGGATGAATACTATGCACACTGGTAAAATGCAGGTTGATATTACTGCATTTGTCTTTCCCATAAACCAATGCTATTGTTTTGCTCCAGATAGCAGACTAGTTGTATTTCCTAATCCCTGGCACTGCATAATCTTTAAACTGATTTTTAAATTAATAAATGTTATATCAGTATGACATGACATTTCTTCACAAACAGAAACATCCAGCAGAACTGCACCCAAGAAAGCAAAACAGTAATGTTGTTATCAGTAACACCCACATTATTGTAACACAGTAATAAACAAATTGTTTGGGGAAAAACCTTTGCCATTTTTACACTGCCTTAATATGAAATCTCAATTTGCAAGAATATGAATTCTCTAATCCTTTAGGCAATTTGGAAAAAAACATATTTTGACAGCCGCTTGCAGAGCAGATAAGATTAAGGGATTAAATTAACAGTTACCATGGTGCTGGGTTGTGGTAACTGAGAGAAGTAATAGGAGTGGCTCTTTAATGGAAGTAAAGTTTTGGTCTAAATTATTAGGAGAATCAATTATCATTACCTACTGGGGGAGTACATTTTCTGCACCTTTCTTCTGCTTTAATGGTTCTTACTTTTTTCCACTGTGCAGCTATTGCTCTCCCTCAAAATGACGAAATTTATTTAAAAGACAGAGTGAAAACGTCAAGAGACAAAAGTGTTCAGTGCAGACAACATCTTCTGCATGGACGGATGTTTCTCGTTTGTGCCATCCTGTCATGTGGCTCCTGGAATGTGGTGGAATGGTCAGACTGCCAGGAAAAAATCACCACCCGTAACAACTCTTGCTTTTCTAAGCAGAATTAAGAGAGCACTTGGTGTAAACTACAGAGAGGGTAGGATTTCTAACAGCAGTCCTATAAATGAAGTCACTTTTGTTTAGGATGAAAAAACTAACTGTCCTCTTAGGCAACAGAATCTAAATTAAAAACAGAAACTCTGAATTAAAACAGAACCTAATTAAAACCAACTGTAATTATTTCTTAAGCTTTATAACAGCTCATGACAACGCAATAGTCAATAACTGAACTTACATTTCCATTCATAACTAGGACCTAAGAAGTAAAAGATAATACATTGGTCATGTTAAAAAAATAAAGAAAAAAAACTACTTAAAAAAATTAAACCATACAGCATCTTATTGTTGACCCAACGTTCAGCTGCAGCTGTATTCTGAGATTAAAGTAAATGGTAGCACATCAGCTAGGCTGCCCTCTGGTACTCTGCAATGGCACTTGTGCCCACTTCAGCAGCTCGAAGTGCCCTCACTACCCAAACGAGCATGCATTGTACCAGGCAAGTGGCCCTCCCTCCCTGTGCATCAGGTTTCCTGTTCCCCAGCCTCATGGTACAACTGCATCATCCAAAAAGGGAAAAATCTTCCACCCTTCATTTATTTCTGCAAAGTTATATAAACTATTCCATCTGATGAAATTCCCTAGGGAAAGTGCAGACAACTGCTCTGTTCACAGGTCTGATAAAAATAGGACATTTAAAATATCTTTTTGGAAATCTTAAATAATTTTGGCAGCATCAAAACATTTGGGGAAGTCCATCTTGGATTCATCAGTTTATTCTGTTGAAAAGGAAATAAGATTCACAAGTTCACACTTCTAAGCTGCTTCTAATGCACTTAGTTTTTAACAGTGCCTTTTCAGTGGTTTTTAAATTACTAAATCCGTCATTTGGGTTAGATAAGCATTAGACAAATCCAAAACCAGTTTCTCCTTCTCTTTGGTTTGTTTTTTTTTGGTAATACTAACCACCCTAACTAGAAAGTCTGATGGTTACTTTAACAAAACTAACAGAAAAAAACCCTAAGCTATTCTAACATAATTTATTGCACTTTAGTACCTTCCTATATTTTCACAAATCCTCCACCTGCTTTTCCACCTATTATGCATACAAATACGTATACCACCTCCATCCTTAATCCTACAATCTAGCGCTATCTCTGCAATGTAACACTACAGTAATTTGAGAACCTGTTTCTAAAGTATTCTCTTCTCTTTTTAATAATTCTAAATATAAGTATCTACACAAACACCAGATTCCTCATGGGTATTGCTCTGACATGTGAAGCGTGGGAGGAGGATTTTTCCAGACACTGAGTATAAAGCAAACTATGCCATTTATGTCACATTATGTGTCTAGACATCATCAACAAGTTGAAACTAGTATGTTACACACTCTGTTCTGATGGCATCATCCAGGGGTGGATACTTAATTTTACCTATAATCACGTACGAAATCTTTTTCCTTTCTAAATATGAAGAAAAACCAGGATTTCACTAAAGGCAAAAATATTGTCTCCTTTCCAATACCTGATTTCAAGTTCAGTCAAAGTTTGTGCTATGCTTGAAGCCTTTGTCACATCCCAGGTTAGTTATACCACACTGGCTAAGTAATTTTTATAACCTGTTATAACCTGTTACAAAAATTTGCTAGGTTTTTAGTATGGCCTTTCAAAACTACCTGTTGCAGTTGGGCTTCATTCGTTAATATACTTTTGGTTTCTGATGATTTGTCTCAGTTTTAGAAAACTCACAAGATTAATTTTGAGCAGTATATCTGGAACTTGTGAAGAGCCCTAACTGTCTACACCATGGTTACTCAAGATCAGCAAGTGTTCACATGTTTTTAATGTGGGCATTCTTTGCTTACTGCATTTATTAATCTAAGAAACTATGTTTTGAGCAGATCCAAATATACGTTTGAGGTGTGTCCAAACACACACACACACACTTACCTGAAACTACCTGAAAGCAAGAACAGTCATCAAAGGCCACTAACATCCTAACAAAATAAACACAGAGTAGTGTTTCACAAAGTAGCAATAGATGGCATAATGCTAATAGTATTTTTTTCATTATTCTCTCAAATAACTCTTATTATTTTTGCACTCCTGTGATAGTAATTTCCCAGAGGTACCCAAGCAGCTGATGGTAAGTCACACTGCAGCTTGTGGGAAGAGAATAAAAGCAACAAACTCCCAGCTCGGTTAGGTGAGTGCTGGCTCTGGAAGCCTCTCTGCCACAGTAAAAAAAGTGAAAATGGGCAGGCCCAATGGTGAGACAGGCCTTCTCCAAGAACTTGGCAGAAGCTTAATATATAGACAAATTGCACAAATGAGAAATGGGTTCGGTCTTCCAAGCCCTTCCAGCCCATGTCTGTATCCCCTACAGATTTCCACCTTCTACCCACCAGCAAACATCAAAGTTATGAACACCTGAATGGAAAGTAGAAAAACACCAGTAAGGTGTAATCAGCTACAATTAATCAGTGTGAACCACAGACATAGAGTATTATGTTCTCTGAACAAAATGCCTGTGATCCATCTACAAAGCTAGAAAAAGAGCATATAAAAATGAAAGTTTGTGAAAAAACTCAGTAAAGACTGTATCTGAGGAAGTCATTAGCTCTACACAAACTTTTGTGGACATAACAATATGCTAAACTTGTCAAATAAATGACTTGCTGCAGATAGTCTGCTCACCTCCATCTAGAGTACAACTGGAAGCACCAGAGGGAAAAAAAAAATTGTTTCATGAACCTGAAAGTCAATTTGGAAAAATATTAACTTATAAATGAGTGAGTAACTAATAAATACTACTAGGTTATGTCTGGAATCATAAACTTCCTTTCTTTGCACAGCAGAAACATGCTTTGTTTAAGGTGTGTTTTTCATGCTGACTTTTCATTATTAAATGGAAGAAGTCCATAGACACAGGTGACCCTTGCAGCATTACAGCATCACGGTGAGACAAAGTTCAGAACACTCCGAGAGGTGCAAAATTTAGTGTTAATTCATCCTTATTGAAGATGGAAAAGTTTTTTTCAACATGTACAGCTTAGAAATCTATGTGAGAACTAAAACTGCCTTGTAGAGATAAAAGGAACCTTTCATTACAGTTTGCCCTTTTGCGTAGTTTCACCATGTTTTCAAAAAATCTTGTTTTCCACAAACAAGAGAGTGCAACAACAGTGTCAAACATAAATTGTGATGAATAATTAAATATATATACCGTTCTTAAAACCACAATAAAAATGCTGGAGAAAGTTTGTGAAAAAAGTGCAATAATTTTCATAAAGAACAAAATATCTGCTGAGAAACTTAATTTTTTCAAAAGTTTGAGAAACTCAAAACACATCATAGCTTCTGCACATTTTATTCTCTTTTTGGCTGCCTGAGCAAAGCTTTCTGAGTTCCTGCATCTGATGCTTTAATTACCAATGCTATCAGCACAACCTTGAATATTCACAGTTATTAACCTGAAATCAATCAGACTGTGGAAGCACTCAAGTTTTAAGATTTGCCCTTCTATTCCCAGTTTTCTGCAGATCCCACACTTGACGGTGTCCACACCTGTGAATCACAGAAGGGACAGCCACAAAAATGGCTCTTTTCTCCTTCCAACCCCACGTAGTCCTCCTCTACCCACAAAACCAAAAGGCAAGACCCAAGCCCCACCACAGTGGGAACTCTCATTGTCCCTCATGACAGTCTGTTTTGTACCTGACCATCCTGGTAAACACCGACAGTAACCCGTGGTGGGATGACAACCGTCCGCATGGCTGCAGTCACAGCGTTCAGCACAATCCATACCATATGTGCCATCCTGTGGCAACAGAAAAACATCAAAACAGAGATGATGACAACTGGAAGTTAGAGGAGAACAAGTTCTGGTCAGTCTTGCCTCCAAAAGCAAACATGTACCTCTCCTGAATCTGTAATCCACTTTCTTAATATAAAACACATCTGGCTTTTGGAACATTTTAGTGTCCTACATTTTCATTCTTTCATTTAAGAGGGGAAGATAAAGAATTAATTACATTCTCTTGAAAAATCCCAGACTAATGGACCTGGAGATGGTGATTCAGAACACAGTAACCTACACTATCAGAGGCTGCAATGAAAGCTTTCCTGTACTGTGCCCTTAACTTCCCTTACAGCAGAGTTCCTACTCCAGGACCTGGAGGTCCCTCGAAGACAAAGCAATTCAGTCTCCTCTCTGCCTCAGATCCTGAGCTCTCTACATCTCTCTCTAGTCAAAAAGGATACCACATAAAGCCACAATTTCTAAAAAAAAGAGTAATAAAACATTATATTAAAATATATCTTCAGTGTGAAGTTTAATGTATAAACAATGCAAACTGTATCGTCTTCTTTTGATTAAAAGATCCTTCCCTCTGCACTACAGCAAATCCTGTCTTAAAAAGAGAAGCTTTTTGACTATGAGACAATACACAAAACAAAATTATTTTCTGGCTATGAAACATCTTCTGAACCAACAAGAGAGATTACAGTTACAAGTGGAACACCCCTGTTGGAGTATTCAGCTGTGCCAAAAGAGCACAGCTGATTTTCATGGAACTACATAATTTGAATTTGCCTTTTCTGCTGCTTCTGTATAACGTAGCACATACATTTGGGGTAAATCCACACAAAATTGATCTGAGAAACTGAAAAGAGCAAAATCTTTACAATTGCATTCTCAAAGGAAGATAGAGTACAACAGTAAATTAACTTACATAAATAGTGCCAAAAACAAATTAAAAAAATCTAAAAAGCCAGTATAATTTAAGGTAATACTTCTGGGGTTACTCACAGCATAAGTTAAAAAAGAAAAAAACATTTTAAAACCCAATCTTTTAAATTCTAGGCTAAAAATTAGTCTCAGTCACATTAAAAATCAGAATAAAACATATACAAAAATTCATCTGCTGTTCTTTGATCTTCATGCCTGCATTTCTATCAAGTTCCACAGGATTTAGCTATTCAATTTCCAGTCTTCCAAGTCTAACGTAGAACAAAATCTTACATTACTTACAAGGAACATTTTGCTAATCTCAACACTACATTTTTATATAGAGAAAAAGAAAAGATTAAGCATTTCCTTTGCATACAATCAAATTTGAAAAGAAAGGAAATACTCAGATATGTTGTTGAAAAGTGATGTTTTTAGTGTGCTGTTTATGCAGACTGAAGTCCAAACTTCAGTCAAACCTTAACAATCCGGGCATTGATATTAATTTTTGTGAAGTTACTGAAACAAACTGAAATACATTGATTTAAATCAACTCTCTGTTCAAACGAGAAAAAAATTCAGACAGCACCAGACATATTTTAATTAGTTATCTGTTTATCGTCCTGCTCTAGAATTTTGAGGCAGAATATGCATTTGAGATATGCTCATGGATATCATTTGACAGAGAGAGAGCGAGAGCAAGACAATGAGCATTGGCGTGCAAATTATCTGATATAGAAATGCTTTTAGGCATTATTTTGCTAGATTTGTAACAGTGAAGAAAATGCCATGAAACAATACCCATCTTTTTTAGTATATTAGGTTTGGAAGAGCTAACAGAGTTTGGAAGATTTCATCATGCTTCAGAATGAGACACTAAGTGATAAACAAAGCTACTTTAGAAAAAAGAAAAATCAATCTTCTGATGCAGATGCATTGTTGAAAACTCTGCATAATCATGCACAGATGGTACTCTAATCAGCTTTCCAGAATATTTTAAAATATTAGTGTATGCTATACCTCATTTTCAAACCAAAAACAATCACAAAGAATAACTTCTGAGTATTCTGTAAGCAGTTCAACAGAAAAAAAAATATCATTCAAAGCAAAGTGGTTTTGAGTCTTACACTTTAGTTTAGCTACTCCTATCATGTTATTGCTCGGTAGAGCTAGTCCAAAATGACAGAAGCTTGATTGTGATACAAGAAGGGGATTTACAGGGTTTATGTTCAGTTCAGGTGATTTTTTTACAATTATATTAAACAAACAACTTGTATGCAGATAAAGTTGCAAAAGTGAAGAAAAGACAGCGGAGAGGAAAAGGAGAGCAGTGAGAAGTTCATTTTTAAAAATGAAGTTTGTTAAAAATATCCTTGAAAACTAAAGTCCATCATCAGAAAGGATGGACTCTGGAAAACCTCATTTTTCAAAAAATACTTTACTTTTGTGTATGAAATGTAATTGAAAAAAGTTACATTAAAAAAACCCAAATCCGTTTTGAATTTTACCATTTTTTAAATTTTGAAGTTATATATTTTTATGGCTTCCCAAACTACAGATTATAAGGTGGAACAGAATTGATGAGGAGCATGCCTCAACACAGTGATTTCTAATTTTGCAGTTCTCAAAGTCTGCAAGACAGTGAAAGTGAGAGCTCCAGTCAAAAGAGCTACTACCTGCCATGGGACTGGGTAGTAAGAGTGCCTTCTCATATCTGACTGAGAAGGAATGAACATTCTCCATTCATACTCTACCAAATATATAAGATATTTTAAATAAAATTATGTTGTTTGATGTAAAGTATATTTTTGGTATATTTTTTGTCTCATAATTTTTAAAGTAGTTTAACAGAAGCAGTTTGGATAGTGTTTGATGCTGATAGGGAAAAATTTTGTTCTCTGTTTTTCAACAAATTCTAAAGAAGCTGGCCAAAAATTTGAGATCCAACTTTGAAGTGTGAAAGCAGAAAAAGTGTTCATTTGTGTATCTTAATTTCATGTAGTCATTTTTTGTGTGCTGTGCAGTAGAGTTCTTCCAGAAGAATTGTTGGTGCACATCCCTGATCTTGAACCCAGTTGTATATGGGTTACCAGGTGCAGTGCTCCTTAGAAACTTATCCCCATGAAGCCAGAGGAATGACAGGAGCATCCGCCTGCCCAGTATTATCCTACAGTGCAAACATCAGCGAAATTATTAAACTACCTGGCAAGGGAGTTCACATTTTTCTCCTCTCCAACCCGGGGCACAGGTACAGATTCCATCCAGAGCATTGCAAGCCCCTCCATTAAGACACTGGCAAGTTAAGTTACAGCCAAGTCCCCAGGTACCACTGGGACAATTTATCGAGCAATCTACACCATGCCAACCTGCCAAAAATAAGAATTAGAGTGACAAATTAATCAGGTTTTCCCCCATTCCTCTCTGAGGACATGTTTCCTTCCACCTACCACTTGGCATCTCTCAAGAGATGCGCAATACTGGGTAACATTAAATACAGGCTAGTATCAGCAGTTTCAGCTGAGGGCTTGACCAGGTTTGAACAAAGGTGCTCAAGGGCACCTTGTAACATCTGTGCACAGCACACATTTGCAGATGGGTGCCAAGATACAAAAGCAATTGATGGAAGATCTGAAATGATAACATACACACCTTGAATTTCACTGAGAAGCGCTAAACTATACTGAAAGTTTTAAAGCATAGACTGAAAAAAATGTATTTTCCCTAGACTTAAGCTGCTGCTTTCATAATTCTTCCACCAGTGTTCAGTACAGACAGTTCTGCAATATGGTTTTAACAGAAATCTTAAGACACACACAAAAGAAGAGAAAACATAGAACTAAGTGCATAAGTTGGATTTCTCCAGGAATACACAGAAGACCTTTTAGATTATTTCTGTACTTCTCTCCAGATACAAAACAAAATGTAATGTAAATGGCTCTAAAATGCAGCATTCATCACTGATTATGCCTGATAAGCAACAATTCACAGACAGCGCACTGGGTAGACAGAAACGTAAATAGTTTTTTTTAAATGTGATCATCTATTGGATATGAGAGAAATGGCATGACCCAGTCACATGTTATAATCAGCAATGACACAAGCCAAGTTTCTAATTCTGTAGCTTGTTTACAGTAAGCAAAAGGAAAAATAATTCTGCACTGAGCCTAATCAATAGACTCTGCAAAACACACGTATTGAAATGAAGCTGCCTCGTGCCCTGGATTGATGACTTCGAATTTAGAGGGCATTTCAGGAAAAAACGTTATACTCTACTAGCTAGAAAACTGAGAACTTGAGAGAAAGTCTTTCCAAGATTTACAAATTTCTGTTGTTTACACAACAAATATCTGGCTTTAGTTTAATTTCACCTTTTGCTGCCCTTTTTCATCATAGTATCACTAAAACTACATGATGCACAAGAAGACAGGATGATGCATGACTCAAGGAATAGTTTTTCTCCTCACAACCTAGCTATTTAGAAGTAGCTACTTAACTGCTTTAACAGAGTTAAATCAGCTCCACTGTCACTGGCAAGAGAAGCTGGAAACTCCCCACATCTGTTAGATGACTGATTTAATTGTGTCAGTCCCTGACAAACTTAGTGGCTATTTGTCTAGGTAACACTAACACTTCGTACCACTCTTAACTTTCATGTATTTAGATTAGGGGGTCTACAGCATAGGCTGGGCATAGGGTTTGCTCGGGAGCATTCAATAGCCTGGCCCCATCTTCTCAGCAATCCAGCATCACAGCTGAGGGACGCTGGACTTCAAATCCTTCCCCACAGCAGAAGAGAAAAAGAGAACAGGTGTATTGCAAGAGAGGATCTTTAAGTGGAGTTTTGTAGCATATTTTGTGTTGAACAGAACACCATGTGGGCCTGTAGACCTTTATATGGGAAAAAAAACTCTTCAGAATCAGAGCTGGAGGATGGCTGAGATAACTTTGTTCCAGACAAAGACGTGCTACTGGTAGGTGGACAGGTAGGCAGGCACATACAGTTTCTGGTGGGGGTACACTGACCATCAAAATTACTCTTGGGAGGAGAGAGCCAGGCAGAAGGGCCAAGGAACATGAGTCCACTTGAACTAAGACTGGGAGATTCAGAACATTTCTTACAGAAGCAGGGAACAGTAGTGGGCACAGGCTGGGAAGAGGGTTAGGCAAGGTTTTGTCAGAGGATTGCTGAGGAAAAGAGTATCTGAGTAGAAAAAATTGCCAGTAGGTATCAACATCAGTGCTAAACTGGCAAGAAGAAGTCTGTATCTCTGTGACTACAGCTGCGAGGGACGAGGGTGGCAGACAGAGGTGGTACTCCCCCAGGCTGAGGGGAAATGGGACTCAGTATTTTGACTAGGAAGGCTGAGGTCAGATAAATGGCATACCAGTAGTTCTTCCAGCAGACCACAGCACTGACACGGGAGACAAGTGGCCCACCTCAGGATGGTAATTCACCCAGCCACAGTACCCAGCCCACTGAGTAATGTCAAGGAAACATGAACACAAGGTATGCACACTCTTCTCTGAGCATGTTTATCTAGTTTTTGCCTCCCAGAGCAGCAGAAGCTTGGCGTATCTACTGATATAGACTTCAAGGTGGTCTGTTTTTTAAGTTTCAGTCTTCTTCTCTACTTCAAAAACTTTATTTCATTTTATGATTTCAGAAAAAGAAAATGAATCTGAAGAGACACTTACCTGCTTTGCAGGCACAAGAACCATCTATTGGTGAACAGATGGCTTCATTTTTGCAGTTGCATACAGACGAACAGTTTACTCCATATGTCCCCGGAAGACACGGAGTACCACAAGAAGCACCCTGAATTATATAGAGAATAAAATCCATTTGAGGAGGTTCAGACAACACAACTAATAAATGAACTAGACTCAGGTTCTACAAAAACCAGAAAACATAAAGCCCGTGACTATCCTAGGCTGTAACTAAGTTAACCTGAACTTAAGGGAGAGGGAGTCCTTCATGCTTTCTAAGCCTACAATAAGCATTAGTTTTATATTAGTTGCTGTGAGAACTCAGGTCACGTAGCTAACAGCACTTGGCTGCATTCATGGACAGTATGTTTAGTAATAAAGAAACCCTTAATGAAACCAAAACATAGTAAGACAGCAGTTTAATGGAAAATAATGTGAATATATAACATATATTTAAGAATTAATTTGGTTGAAGTTTTCACAGTTACTGTTCCTAGAAAAAGATTAATACTGTAAAATGTTTCATATGTTAGACTAGCATCTAATGCACAGGTAACAGCAAATGTGTGTAATAGCTGCAGAATAATCTGTTCTGAACTGTAAAAACAGATGTCTCTGTCTAGAGTTTCTCTGGATAGAGCATGAGGAGTTGATGCAACAAGATAATGACAAACCTATCATTCCTCCCTTTACTTACACCTCAACAGCACACCCTCATTCTTATCAATGTCTTATAAAGCAAATAACTTTTCTTTCTTAAAAGGGCTTCATTTCAGTACTGACAATCAATCACAAATTTTGCCTTTTCAGAATGTAATCTTACAATACACCCAGAGGTGCCTAATATCTTTACCTCTGTTATACTGTAGTGGAGAAAGGACACTCTGGTATCTTGAAGAATTTGGCATTTAACTAAAGGCAGTGGAGTTGAAAATGGACTGTGAAAGTGAGACTTATTTACCTTAAATCCAGGGGCACAGGTGCATTTTCCAGTCACGCTATCACAGTCAGCACCGTTTTGGCAGCTGCAGATCTGCTGACATGACTTGCCGTAGAAGCCTGGGGAACACGTCTCATTGCAGTAGAGCCCAGACCAGCCGGGCTTGCAGGAGCATTCCCCAGACATAGGGTGACAGCTGCCAGGAGGGGATGAAAGGATAAATAATTCAGGACTAAATGTGACACCAGTATTTTTTTTTTTCCTGGAGAACAAAATGCTGTTATAGATGGGTTGCATAAAGGATCCTGCCTGCTATGCACAGAGATGGTTTTACTCCTCAAACCACAAAGCAGAGAGTTCTGTATGTGTATATATATAAATGCATGCCAACTAAGATAAAAAATGTAACATCATACATCATATAGACATTTTGGAAGGACAGGGAAAGAAAAGAAAAGGTATTGCTTTTCTGTAGCTTGTTGGAAAGAAATCTATCCAAAATGCAGTTTTTACCATAAAATAGATATCTACGGTTACAAATATTAAGGTGATGAAAGCACTAATTCCCCAAAATGTATTGTTAGTTTTCCACTCCAAGTATAATGAGATCATTTTCACAACACTGCCCAAATTCAGCAGCATATTGTCCGAGAAATACGATGCTTCAGTAAAATAGCACGGCATCCAACACAAAATAATAACACAGCACCCAATAAGTAGCATGCACCCTCTTTTCTTTAAATCACTGGTTGAAAAGAGGACAACTGGCATCTTTCTGGGAATGATACAAAATCGTTTGCATTGGGCAGAAGTCAGATATACCACCAGAGCAGTGACCTTTTGTAGAGTATCTCCCCTATGTTTGCCATACCTGGTGGCAGACCAGCTGTTCCTACCTGGAACAGCAGTTTCATTGAAGGGCCAGTCAGACAGCTGTTGCCTCATAACATATGGACATCATCAGCTGTGCAAAGATATATGTGCTGGAAAAGTGGACACAATGGGGTACTCTGTGGCACTCTGGCAGACAAAGCACTTGCTTAATTCCCACCAAAAGAAAACCTTAATATCTAAATCCAATAAATTTACAATGGGAAGACTGTTTAAAGATATTTGTCTGCCACTGATTGAAGTTCCTTTAAGTGTGCTGGAAGAAAAAAAACAAAACCTTTCATCCGGACATATTAAATAACCCATGACAAGAACCTGATTTTGCTGACTCCTTGCTGGGTGTGTGTTTGAAACTGAGTATTTTTCTGACAATTTGAAAGTTTGAAAAAATACCTAATGCACTTTTAGGTGTTATAACATAAGTAACAATAATATTATTTGAAAAAGCTGCAAAATAACAAGGGAATGAAATATTAATTGCAACTGCTCTTGAACTCAAAGACTACTCTTGCCAAACTAAGAGCTTTCTATTGCCAAATACAACCAACTGACAACATACTGCTGATCAAGGAAAGCATGAATTATAAATGTTGAAATGTCATTATGTGTTCTGCTCTCTATATATTACTGCATACACTACGACAACACAGGACTTTGGAGGTCTTGAAGAAACCTCTTTGATGGTATTAAACTGGTTTACATAAAGTGAGAGGAAAGGTCTCTTCAACTAAATAATACCTGCAGAAACGGTTTGAAACTCATGGTGTACATAGTCAGCAGTTCTACTTATTTGTTCAGTTATAGGTATACCTGCCATGAAATATGCTGAAATTGAACTATTCTCATATAAATTACATGCAAAATTATGAAAACAGCAAGATAATCAGATTTGTCCCCTATTCCTAATTTCCTGTAGGCACTCAGTGGCATTTTGTATCCAGTTCCCATATTTCTTATCAGGGTAAGAATAAAGGGTGGGAAATATGAAAAGATTTTTCAGTCCACAACTGAATAGTCAGGAGGATATGAATTAGAATATTGCTAAAACATAAAATTAGTAGCACTGTAATTTTAAAACATAAATACCAGTGTTGTTTGTTGTTTTCTTTTCTCCTTTCAGGAAAGAGGGAGCCCATACACATGAGCAAGCATTGGGTATGGAGCAGAAGCATTGATATTCTGTGCTCCCCAGTGAGTGTTACTAAGGCATAATTGCACATATATTGATTGACACCAAAATTAGTATTCCATAATTTGTAATTAGATGTAGGAAGCTGGAGTACTTTTGAAGCTTTTTGATGGGTTCTTATGCAGTTAGCTTAATTGGCAATAAGATTTATATATTAAGTTAAGATAAGGAAACAAAGATATGTTGAGAGATACTGCCAGTATGACTGCTTTTACCCCTGGTCTTCTGTTCACACTTTCTGGAAATACAACCCAACTCTGTACAGAGACAAAAGAATATGTGTGGGTAGTTGATACTATATATTTGAAGGACTTAGAAGAACTTAATGATTTTCATATTATTGATATAGGTGTTTCATTATTATAACAGCCAACTAAATTCTGTATTGCACCCTATGCAATATAAAATTTCCAGCAAAAGCTCTTGTACATATAAGCCCATTAGGAAAATGCAAAATTGCAAGACACCCTAATCTTGACTTTAAAAACACACTCAAGACTACTTAAACTAAGCACAGATCACTTCAGGAAATTCCACTCAACCCTATATATGTATCTCAGAAAAAGAATGAGACAAAAGAAACACCATTAGAGCTCATGTAATGAATAACCCCTAATTTCAGCCTGAACTACACCAAATTAATTGGTGATTCAGAATGAACCCAGCTGATCTTACTTACAGGTGTGACGCAGTGGTGGAAGACCACCAGAAAGAATTTACAAGAAAAAAAAACCAAAACAGGGACATCTCAAATTTAGCTTGGAGATCAACCTGAAAATGGTGCATATGCTGTGAAACAGGTGTAGCAAAAACGTGTTGTAAAGCTTCTAGATAAATATGCAGCTGCAGTCTGCCCTTTTTACTTTTTCATCAGATGACACTTGAATAATGGAATGACAAAACCCCTTCTAAAAGTGGTTTAGGCTAGAAGCACATTCCTGTACAAAACAAAGTGATGGTGCTGAGGAAGGCAGATCAAGGTCTTTCTCACTTACTGCTGCAAACTGGATCTTCAGAATAACAAGTTTCTGTAAGCCCCACAAACTGTCATGGTAGTGGCAGGTCTGCTCATACCAACTGACAGTGCTGCTGTTGTAACCCACTGAGGAAGTGTGTTTTATGTGGTCTTTGTCTCAGCCAGCTAGTGCTCATTCTAGGCTTTTTTTTTGACTATTGAGTAAAAACAGAAAAACTGATTTTCTGGTTTGTACTCTAGCTCAAATGTTTCCATATATATCAAAAGATGCCATAAAGAAGAATTATTTGTTATAAAATTCTTGGCACAAGAGAGTTGTTACCTGCTGCTGTCCTCTAGACTCCTCAAAAAGAATAAAATCTCTCAAGTATATCTATACTTAAACCCTTAGGAAGCATTTAATAAATGCTGTTGGTGCAATGAAGAACAAGGATGGGCTTGACTTTCGTCCCCAGGAGCTGCCATCCATCAACAGCAGCAGCGAAATTCCTGTAGTTTAGCCTACTCAAAATGCAAATTATGAATTATTGCCAGGATAACTGATGAGACCTTTCATCTCACTATTTTGATGCAATTTTCTCAATCATAAAACATTAATATAAATATGTATATATTTTTGAACTATGGTGTATCATAATGTTTTTGGATCTTTAAGTATTTGAAGAAAATGGCTAGACACATACTTGTATGCTACAATGACTGCAGATATATTTTACAGCAATATTTTTTGGTGCTAAGTACTCTTTTCATTCACTTCCACATCTGTGAATGCAAGTAATAACCTTGGGCTCTAAGACTACCAATGGCTCCTCTTCAAGAATATCTAAAGCAGTAGTCATACCCAGATGAAAAAAGCTTTCATGATATCAAGGCCTACAGAAGTCCTAACAGAATCCTAGACCTACAGACACACAAAGTGTATTTGGAGAAGGAATTGCATTCCCTTTTTCATGTCCTGAGTTTGTTGGTGGTTACGTTGCTGCTAAATGGGTTAGAGCTATCCTTTGGCTACAGCCAGCCCAAATAGTACTTGTGGAAGGCAAGTAAGGGATGAGAATATTCCCTGATGTACTTAAAAGGTTGTCCCTTGGCTGACTGATATTTAGTGAGAGATGAAGACAGCCAGACATAACTGGTTTCTCAAAAGTGTAAAGTGTCTGTAGGGAGCTTTGTGTTTTATACCACTACTCAGATGCCCTTTGATTTCTGTTATCTGGTGGTCTTAATCACTTCCTGACCCAGGGAGAAGGAACCTATACATGAAAAATACACTTGTGAAGCCAATAAAATCTTTGGTTTCCTCACAGATCACTATGCCCCTGCAAATATGCTTCCGCACCTACAGGGCTGTTAAGCTCTTTTTGATTTGTCATACAGAGAGAAAAATGCCTAAAAAAGGACAAGCCATATGCTGCTGTTTACATGTGAACATTTGTGATCTGACTGGACCACAAGCTGTCTTCCAGCAGTATAAATGAAGGAACAGCTGTGTTGAACATGAATTAGAAGTAATCCCTGTAATATCAGAAATATTATACAGTGTAATGTGCTCCTGTCAAACAAGGCTGCTACAACGGTCTGCAGACAAATTTTCAGGAAAGCAGCTAACCATAATACATAATGCAACAGTATTTGCTCTACTAGCGTAATTTGAGAGCTAGATAGGTCAGTGTCATGGTGTCATTTATTCTTGAATGCGTTGCCTAAAGAATGAATTGCTTGATTTTATGTCCAAAACTCTATTTTTTCAAAGGACATTTCAAGTAAATGGGATAAACAGAAGTGCAAGCACACAACTGTAAAAGCATATGAATGGAAAGGGAAAAGAATTCAGCCTGCTGTCACATGGTTTGTCAATGAAAGGCATGTTGAAATACTCAGACAATCCACAAAGTAATTTTTCACAAAGGCCTGACAGAATAGGCATGTCCATGTATGTGCTTGAGTGCTTTAACATCACTGCTAAATTCTGACTAAAGGCTCTTTGTTTCATATAGCAGGAAAAATGCGTCTTACATACAACATACAGCAGCATTCTACGCAACAGTCAATAGTTTCTGCAAATTTCTTTCACAGCTATTTTCAACAGCAAAAATTTAGATTATGCTTACAAATCTTGTACTCTGATTAGTAATGCAATTAAGTATGAGTGAATCAAAGAATGGTTTTGGTTGGAAGAGACCTTGAAGATCATCTAGTTCCAGACCCCCTCCCATGGCAAGTGAACACACAATGACCAAAGTATTTCATCAGATCTCTGTTTTGTAACAAGAGAAGGCTGTCCAGAATTGTTGTATAAATATGTTGGCTCGCCTCAACTGACATCTGACGTTCCACCCTCACAGCTGAAAGTCTGTCTTCAAATAGCTAGTTTTTAGATTTTCATAACAAGATGTTGAAACACTGTGAAATCCACAAAAACACACAAACCTCAAAGACACACAACCTCCTGAATAAGGAGAGATGGTAAAAGGTAAGCCAACTGGAAATTGATTTTCATTTGATTTCCAGGGATCAGATTTTACCTGCTTTCTAGAAAAATAATTTAAATGACAAAAAAAATGTATTTTTGAAACCTAGGTTTACAATGATAAGGCGGTGGAAATTTTGTATGGAAATAGTCACCTACACCAATTCTTATATATATGTATACACAGAGAGAGAGAGAAATGAATTCTCCTCTCATGCCCGACTTGTAAGACTGTACATCCATTGATTTCAATTCAGTTGTTTCTTCTCTACACTGATGTATACTGACTTTATACAGTGAATATAATGATTAATGTGGTAATTACATAAAAAAGTCATACTTTGTCTTAGCATTTGTTTCATGGGTCTGAGAACAAATACAGCAGTGAATATTAAGATCAAATACAGTTGCAGGCACTAAGATTCAGAAGCTATTTTGGGTTGATAATTTCTTTCTTGATATGGCTAGAGAATACCAAATACTTTTACAAGTCTTTAGCTGCTTCGATTTGCATGAAAGTACTAGAAAATTCAGGAAGTATTTATTGAATATTATATTCAAATTTCTATGTTCTACGTAGAAAAGGGAAACAACCTACCTCCAGGTATTGGGCATATGGCAGGGACACTTTTTATCACACTTGAGACCATAAATTCCCTCAGGGCAAAGCCTTGTTTCGCAGCGCTCTCCAGTGTATCCTGATTCACAGAGACAGGCACCACTAATATGGTAACATTTCCCTCCATTCATACACTTGCAGGTCTCAGCACACTGCACTCCGTAAGTTCCCACTGGGCACTCATCTTGGCATCTGTGAGAAAAACAAACAGAAAAATTAAGTTTTACTTCACACAAACTACACCATTTGGAGATTTAAGGGAAACACAGTATATGAGGAATCTCTTATACTGGTCTAAAACATGTCTTAAGTAAAGCAGAAATATAAGTAACTTCGTATTTAAAAGGCCCTGTCTCTCTGGTTTCTTTTGCTGCTCAGCTAGACAGCCTTAAAAACATTGGCTCTGGAAATTCCTTTGGAAAAGATCGCCCTTCTCTCCAACAAAGGAGACAACATGCATTGCACTCTGGTTCAGGAACCAGAACAAAACCAAACCGTCTTAAACCACACCTGAATTATGAAGGAATACGTTTTCAAGTATTTAGTTTCAAAAGTTTCATCCATCTGTAACTTTTTAAAGTGATATGGAATCTCCACAGAGCAATAGTGTGAATAGCCAGCAGACACCTGTGCCTCTGCAGACACTCATTTCAGGAAGTTCCCTAGCAATCACACTCAGCAGTCTCTGATGAGAATATTTTCTAATTTTGATTCCAAACACATGATGTTTCTTTTTCAGAATTTCATTCTAAACCTAATTTTTATGTTGATTTTGCCCTTCGAAAATTCATAGGCTGACAGGGAACTCAAAGCCCTTCTTTTCATCTGACTTTTGTAACAGATGAAAGTGAAAATTAGTAAAAACTCTTCCCATATGGGAGAGTAGCAATGATTTCTGTTGCTCCCTAATGAATATGTATCCTAATAAAGAGACTTCTCTACAAAACGTTTCCTCTTCCATTCACAGAGCTTTTAGAAGACAGCTCAAGGTCTCATTTCCTTAATGTTTTACATATGAAAGACATCATTTAACCTAAAGATCAGACTGTCCAGCCTGACTAGTAAAAGACAATTTTCAGTATCCTGCTTCTAAAACTTGCAATTCACTTCCGGATAGCAATTTCATTTGGCCATATATTTAGGAGACACAATACGAGTTTGATGTTTCCAGCTAGAACTCCTCTGTGTTTTAAAACTGAATTGTTAAAATTCAGAATGTCAGTACTACTAAAGCGTTCCTAAAGGCTACACTTAAATATATTTGATTATATGTATGAAGGAAGACCTCTCAGCTCAACAGGTTCAAGCCTCAGAACCAAGGATAACAAATTTTACTTTGTAAAGCTTATGTATCAGGGAAAATCCCTATATTTTTCAATATAAGCATCCCATAAATTTTGAATTATGTTAACATAGACAAAGAGACAAAACCAGCTAAATCCCAAAGCTTTGAGACCAGGACATGCTAACACTGAAGTCCACATAACATCATCTGCAATTCGGGTACCTGTAAGTTTTAAAAAGTTACAGATTGTACAAAAATATTACTTGATAATATGGCACATTATTAATGGTTTTACCAGCTTATAACCTGCCCATTTGCCCAGTCCTGTAAAAGAATTTCCTTGGTGGATTCTTCCCATTTTTCTTATATAATTGGTCCTATTGGTTTCTTTTCTTAATGATTGGTGAAATTCTCCTATTACAGAATAATTTCAAAGACACATGATACAAGGCATTGCAAAATGTAACAGAATTTAGTAGAGCCCACCAACTGAGGTAAAATGGGCATACAGGTTCATTTCATGCTTCTGCTGTATTTGCCTCAATCTGATTCTGTTATCTGGAAGTTTCAAGATATTCGTACCTCTGCCTTGACTGACGCCAGCAATAAAATCCCCTTCCCTTCAGAAGTGTAGCATAATAACAGAGCTAATAACCCTGTTTAAATGTTTCCTAAGTTACACAAGTAAAGCTGAGGGCTAATTTTCTCCAAAAGACAACCAGGAATCCCAGTCAAATTAGACAAAATCGCATCTTCATCAGCTTCTGAAAGACCCTTTTCCACTTTGTGGTGAGGACAGTTATCAATCAAAAAGTATCAGACAAAAAAGTTATAAAGATAGTCTAAACTAGATCTTCTTGTGTTAACTCAGATCACCTAGAAACTTTTACATGTTCTAGGAGTACCCTTTTTCCTGCTGTATAACGAAGCTCCAGGCATCACCATCACACAAAAATCTCAGCAAAATACCAGTGAAGCTACACACAGAAGTGGAGAATAGCTTAGCACTTTTTAAAACCACCTTTTCTGCTCCATCTTTTGTGCTAGCTCAGATAACGTGCTCACATTTCCTGTAACACTTCCCTCCGTTGCCAGTCCACTGACATGAAATAACAACCAAGTCTACAACCTTGCTTCTTACCCATTCCTGCCCTTGGAGTTTGCAGCTTGTTTTGCAGGAAAGGAGGGAGCTCAGACTTGCAAAAGTGATCAAAATGCTGCAGCCTGTAAGGCATTTCAGATTAAAGTCAGATTTAAATTCCATGACAATTTAATTGCTTTTGGAAATACTAGTGTAGTGCAGTGCAGTTCATATCCATATCATATGGATATTCATTTGATTTCCCTGCTGACACATCCACGTCTCTTTAAATGCATCTACCATCTTATGCACTGTTACTTCACAGATGCAAATTTAATTTTGGCATCCAAATGGCTCTGAACTAACTGTTTCTCCTCTTCATAAGTCTTTCATCTTATGTCTGGGACAGCTCTCCCCATGTCCTGTGAACACTCACGTGGGCAATGCATATGGTTATAATACCCAATATTGCTGGCAGAGGTCCCCTGGACTGACTCTGGTGATTTAGCTGCTGCTGACTTCAGCAAATGAGTTGTGTGCTGTTTAAGATATATGCAGGAAAACACTTCTTTCATCACTTTCCACTGCCTTAAAAAATGATGTCTTGCTATATCATTTTTCCAATCTACCAAAGATTATTTTTTAACAATCAAGTCATAAAACAAAAAAGTTTCAATTCTTCATCTGAACAAAATACTTTAGGAGACAACTATTCAGCTTGCTCACTGTGAAGAGGAACAAAATCAGCCTCCTTGGCTACAGTGACTGCAAAACATCTGCACAAAACCAAAAGCTTCCCTCCTCACCCCTTGACCATACCCCAGACTGCGTCATTCTGCAAGCCACTGAAGTGAAGACTCAAAAGACACTGCCAGAGCATGGGCTACAGCAGGAAACTCCTAAAACCAACCAGTTCCTCACAGAAGGGCAATCACATAGGCCCTTTTAATTTGTGACCCTTCTCAGCTAAGTGATGTAGCAAACATTTCATAAGACTTTTAATTGTATCACAGATATTTTTAATTCTGCTTTCTCTTAATTTTCTCTTCTGTAGCAGACCCCTTGCAGGTTAAGCTGTCTGGCAAAACTAAGTTTTCCTTACCGTTCCCCTGTGTAACCTGGGCTGCAGTGGCATTGACCTATTGCTGAGTCGCAGGTTCCTCCATTGTGGCACTGGCACTCCTGGGAACAGTTTTTCCCGTAACGACCCTCAGGACAAGGCTGACCACAGACCATGCCCTGCATATGCAGAAAAAAAAAAAATCTTAATACTAAATTTGGGATTACAGCTTGAATAGACAAGGAGTAAAGGTTTGCAATGAAGGAAGATCAAGGAGATCTTGTGTCACTCATCTCGTGCTGATCTTGGAAATGCCAGACTCTCCTCCTGCTTTAAATGTGGGGTATGTTTCAGCATTGGCAGAATAATCTGTTAGGATTTCCATTCTGGAAGCCAAAGGTAATAAAAAACACTATCCCTAAGTAACAGTGAAAACACTTAAGACATTTAAGACTAATTGATGTTAAGCTCTTCCCAATATATTTATCAGGAGTAGCACATCTCAAGATACTCGGAAATGCCCTCCAGTAAGCAGTGTAGAAATCAGTAATTGCTGTAATGCCCCAATTATACTATTTTATGATAAGCTGTTGTTTTTTCTCACGGAAGGAAAAGCTGTTTGTAATTTCACTGAAAGCTTAGGTATGATGTCTGCTTCTCTTCAATGGATTCTGAATTTCTGCACTGCTATTTACATCCTTGGAATTAATTACACCTGTGTAATGATGGAAGCATTAGATCTTAACTCTTTTAAGAAGCCATTTCAAGAGAAACATATTTACAGGCATTCCATCAGACAAAAGACATGCTGCTATTTCAGCTAACAATTTACTGCAAAATTTATATCTGGCTACTTTAAACTTTTCTTACATGAAAAGCAAAAACGGTTATACTGACAAAATTGTGCTTCACAGAACTGAAAAATCTTAAATTAACAGAGAGTTTTGCTTAAATAACTACTTGGAATAAAAAACTAGTCAAAGGGCTGAACAGTAATTTATAAGACACACATTAGTATAAAATTTCCATCACTGCTATCTCATTTTTCATTAGCTGTATTTAGGCAGATAAAGGGAGTCAAGAATTTAGGCAAACATTAGTATTCTATGACCAATAATTTCATTCTTCTAACATGAAATGGAATAAAAAGTAAAAATAGTCATAATCTATGTTAGGTAGCCAGGTGAGTGGTGCTATTCAAACACACAAGCAGGGCTGATCATTTATAGCTACATTTTCTAGTAGGTGAAAAACTGACCTCTGCCACAGGTTATCTCAATGTAATAACTCAATTTTCATGAGCTAATTAGAAGTTCAGTAAATGTGGATTTTCATCGAAAATGGCCATTTAAATAGAAAACAGTATTAGCAAATATTATTGAGAAATATTTTCTACAAACGTATTTAAAGAAATTATTTGGGCTTTGATCACCTTCCAGCCTTTTGATCACCTTCCAACTTCATTATTTGCCAAGTCGGAGTAGGCAGCTTGGTAGTACAGGAGGTTACTTGCAGCTCAGAGATCAGTTCTTCTTTCCCTTTTTCCCTGACAAAAGGGTAGAAAGTCTAAAGATGATGTCCCCTTTCCATCAACAACATTTAATATGGTATCTAAAGGTCTGGGGGTTTTGCCATGCATACTGTACATATGAAAAGAGGCACAAAATCCACTACTAAAACATATAATGGTGTCACGTCCCTTTAATATCAAATCGTATCCAGAAATGAGTGACTTCCAGACAAGATCTGAAGGATGCTGCCTCATCACAATATGATTCATGTAATTTTGCTTCCCAGAATCTGATATGGTTAAAAAGGCAGCGCAGAACTGGAGGATTTTCAGTAGCAGATGGTTTTGCAAGTATTTTATTCCAGTACCTTATGCTATAAAATATGTTTCTCATTACTTCTGGCTACAGGCAGACTGCATTTGCTATCCTCATTTACTACCCTTTTTAGACACTGCCCAAAATCTACAAATATGGCAGTTTTTATCAGGTTGTGTTGATTTCAGAAAGTGTTTTTACCATCCATCCTGGCGGGCAAGCACACTCCCCGGTGACATGGTGGCAGACACCTCCATTCTGGCATGGGCACCTCTCCTCGCACTGCGGCCCATGCTTCCCAGGAGGACAAAGGTCTTCACAGCTAGGGAGGTGGTGGTGTACAACAGAAACAAACGTTATTTCATCACACTCTCCCATCTCCAGCCACCTCTTTTTTTAATGCTATCGTTAACTTCTCCAGCCAGAAGTATGAAATAGGAAGCAACCCAACATAAAGAGATGCACACTGAATACTGTATAGCATCCATGCAACAAATCTAAGGAAACAGACCTAGTGACCTAGGAATTATTCCTTCTTGAAAATACCTATTTCTACACCAGTTGGTGTTCACTCACCGTTACTGACAAAGCTCAAAAACTACTCTGAAATGACAAAGCCAAATAACTCCATGTTTCAATGTGATTTTCCAAACTTGTAGCCAAACTGTTTCCCTGGTGGTCATGAAGAAGCTCCTTCTGCTACTTTTTATGGCTTTTGCTTAGCAGTCCAGATCAAGAGGTCTTTGTCTCAGCTACACATCTGAATGAGCACTGCAACATGGTTTGCCCAACTGCTCCTTAGCCACCAGCCCCTCTTCCCTGCATTACACATCATCCAGATGAACAGCATAGTGTCTAAAAGTTAATCTAAACTTAATTACTCTTGTTCGCACTACCTGTATCTCTCCCCCATAAATAACATATCCGCTGCTTACAAAGCACCAGTGTATCCAGGAGGACATCTGCACTCTCCAGTCACGTGGTCGCAGGTGGCCCCATTTTGACACTGGCACTTTTGGTGGCAATCATTTCCATATGTCCCTTGATCACAGCGCTCCTCACAGCGCCAGCCTTTGAAACCCAAGGCACAGTGGCAGGCTCCAGTGATGGGGTTGCACAAGGCTCCGTTTTTGCACTGGCAGCGGCTGCTGCAGTGAGGTCCCCAGTGGTCACTGTCACATGCTGAAAGGGGTAGAAGGAAAAATTTACAGCAGTGTTATAACAGCTCATGTTTCAGCACTGAAGATACTATGAGCCAACTGAAAAAAAAAATAAAGGCATAACATGGAAATTGTTATGTAGTACATGCACAGTTCTCCTTGGTCCTCAGTTATCTTGGCCAGCAAGCAGAACTTTATGCACACAAATTAATCTCTTAAGCATAAAAGCAAACACATTAAAATGTGAAGCTGCGATGTAAATGCAAGTTCTAGTGTCTTCATAGTCAAAACTCTTCGTTATCACTCTCCACCATCAAATAACAGTTATGGTTGCGGTGACCTTCCATTTACACAGAGAAGTCTTGCTAACTTTAAAAAGTTACAGAAGGTACTCTACATCCATAAACAACTGTCTGAATACCACAATAAAGTTGCAAAGCTTAATCAACATAACATTATGACCTTCTTAAAATCTAGAAGTTCCTACTTGTTTACATAATTGCAAGTATTTCCTTTTCAATCTTATCTTTTCAATATACTAATGCAGCAAAACACAAGAAGTGTTTCACCAAGCAATAGAAACTAACAATTACATGGTTAAACTTCATCTGAATGTTACAAATTCAGTTATCCAATGTATCTTCATGATCATTCAAATGCATCTTTTCTTGTCTGCCCCAATTCAGGCCATTAAAACCCTGTAAGCACACTACTCAGAGATTATTTCAGCTTCAAAAGAAAAACCTTAATGTTAAGAAAGAAAATTTTCTTAAGTGAGAAACATAGGAGTTCTGTAAAAAGCCAGAAGATTAAGGTCACCTGGAGTTCAATAGGAATGTGCTAATCATATGGTCAAATGATCTGATTTTATTTTTACGTTCTGTTGATAATAGCAGGACAATGGGAAAGCCTCAGTTGCAGTGACTGAAAGCCCAGGCTCTCCTCTTGGAGACTGACAACCATTGTTCTCCCAGCCTTCTCCCAGGGCAAAAGAGCCAGGCAGAGAATGGGCACACTTTCCTAGACTAACACAAAGTAATTCAAGACTCCTCCTCAGGGTAGAAATTACTCAGCTATAGGAGCTGCTCACTCAGGCTACACAAACAAAAAGGGATTAGGGTCTTTTAAAGAAGCTACTCCTTAAGACTTTTCTTCCAAGAGTGGTCACTAGAACATCCATCCATAATGGAGATATTGTGAGCACCTACACAATAAAATACTGAGCCAGCAATACTGTCAAACTGACAGAACAACTGTCTGTCTTATTATTGGCCTCTTTAAAGATGCGTGGGTTTTGTTCTGGACTATAATGCACTGTTGTCTACAGCACACACCATCTCCCAAGTTGCCCTTCCCCCTGATAACTCATATTCATTCAGAACTGCTATATGTTTATTTTCAACACGTCTGCATGAAATAGAAAGTGTAATCCTCATGCTTAACCAGTTCTCAAATTGTTGTCAGGAATCTAGCTATTTTGGGATACATATAAATATGCGTATAGGTGGTGAGACATCTGAGACAGTCACATGTTCTGTTATGACTGAGCAGACACTCCTACATTCTTTTTTTTGCTTAACACATTATCTAGATTCAGATAATGGTCTTCGTCCTGCTCCCAGACAAAACAGAGAATTTCAAATTCGGCCATTACTCATGGAATAATAAAAAAAAAGAAAGAAAGAAAGAAATACCCACCCTGCTCCCC